GTTGTGAGAAGATAGTGACGGGTGAGATTAAAAAACAACGACTTTGGGAGATAGATGAGATAAAAGTACCTCTTTTACACTCTTTCAAGATTTTTGAGTCATTTTCCCGCATAGATGAGATAAAATTGTCTCCTTTACTGTCCTCCATGATTTTTGAATCGTTTTCCCGCATGAGCGTGAAGTGTATAATATTAGTCACAACATTTTGAAGATTGAAGTAATTGAATTAATAAAATTAATTTATTTCTTTGCTAAATTGACGTAAAATTATCATATTGACTACGGTAAATTAAATATGACCTCATCAACCACAATCCGCCTGCCTAAAGTTCGACATTTCAAAATGTTCTCTCGAGTTTAATGTCATTGTGAGTAAAATGTGGAAAATCGCGTATCTTGAACGCTTGGAAAAGCTCCATTCGATTGAGAAACATATTTCTACAAAATTCCATAGTATAATAATGCTCATTTTTCTAACTTCTCAATAGTTTAAACTTTTAAAAATTCCGACATTCATTTCAGCGGGCTATGAAATAACTGCAATCAAAGTGAGGCACTTGACAAGGTATTAACTAAAACGCTCCGTCACACATTTCCTCTTCAAAATTTTACATGAGAAGTGAATCACACACAGATCTAGACTCAACTCCAAAAGAAGATATAGGTATTTATCAGTAACGCTATTTAATGGAAATACATAAATGACGCCGTTTTTATTTTTTGTGTACAGTTTGATGTATCTTAATGAGCATGTTATAAAGTGTGCATGTCAATACCTCATTAGGATTTTGATTCATGCTTTTCCTATTACATGAATCAATTTCTACGAATATATTTGAAAGGAAACATACATAAATGCAGAGTTGCGCTATGTATCACGTTTTATTTCTGTATCTAAATACTAAGCGACATGCAGTATTGAAATTTTGTGAGTGCATTTTTGATATGTAATCTGAAGAGAATTTACGGAAAGTTCCACAACATTACGCTCTTACTACTTATACTACTCATTCTTGCCAAGAAATAGAATCATGATAAGAAATTATACAGGTAATTTTAAATTCAGTTAGGCCGATTCTGATTTAAAATTCTTCCAATTTCGTACAATGCCTTGTGACCTTTTCGTGTACACTTCAACACTCAAGAAGGTGCTAGTCTATAATATTGCCGTGTAGGGCTAGGCACAATCACTTTATTTTTTAAATGTGTTTCTTGTTCAAAATTTTTTAAAATGGTCGATTGAAAAATAATAAATGAATAAACTCGTTAGTGCTATCTACCTCAAGGTCCGAATTAGGTTGCCTCTTAAAAATATGATCCACTTTTTTTTGCAACAGGCGCATTCACGCTGTTGTTATTTCTCACCTACCGCAGGCAAACACTCTCTTGGTTCCGAAGATAAAAACAAATAATAAACGCGACTCCAGTGGAGTCAAAACACGGCTGAAGTTGAGCTTTTCCAGATGAAGCTCGACTTCTCTCATTCTGAATGTGCGCTCGTATAGAGTAACGGTTGCTGAAAACGTCTTCTTCAATTATTCATTCTCATAAAAAGTAGCGCACCTTAAAGTTAGGATGAAAAAGTATCATTTGGAAACTATGTATTTTCTATGGAAAATACACTAAAAAATTTAGCCAGATACACCCACCTACAGCCTTATTCGCGCAAATGGTATATTTCAGATTTTGATGGACGGTTGGGTCTCTGCGCTTTTGAATTAGTCGAGGGATTTTGAGGATAGACAAAACGTATTAAAACTAAGTGGTTCTTTTGAATAGACATGTTTGAGTACCCTTTGAGATGCTGCTAAGATTGTGCATACTGATGATTCTACTGTACCCGTTGTTTTTGGTGATTTGAAAGTCACGGCTGTACATTCTGCAATGAATATTATCTGTTAATTTTGCTTAAATGGCTGGAAAAATTATAAACGCAGGGCTGTCTTGTCAGAAGTTCAAAAACTGTAAAGGGTTAGTCAAAAGATAACTCCTCAATTTCCTACAGTCATTTAAGGCCAAATTTCAAATTAGGGAAAGGACCTTCCTATAAGTAAAAAAAAAGTATTCAAAACACTATGCCTCACATCTCGAATGGTCAAAATTCTGTTAAAATGCAAATTTTATAGAGAATTTGTAAGTTCAACCGTTCTACTGCCAAGTATGGATTTATTGTTCTTTATGCGCCATAAATCCCGTTTATTTTGTGCACTGATACACGGGAACGCGATGACCACCGAGTAATTAATTATAAAACGCAAATTCATGGCTAAAGTTCAAAATCGCATACCTTGGTTTATGATGTGCTACGGGGTACTTTAATAGACTTTATTCATGATTAAAAATACTCATAAATATGATATTTTAGACAGTTTTCCTATTTTTTATTATTTGATTTGAAAAATAAATTAAATTGAAATTGTCAAAGGACAATTTCAAGAAACGAAGTTAACTCGTCTCCTTCGGAAAAATAAAATGAGAAAGGAAATTCTAAAACGTCGCAAGTATGTGGTTTCCAAGATAAACCATTAATATTTACTTTATTTGAAAGTGAAGAATAACTTATATGGAAAAGCTTGGTGGCTATCTCAAACTTTACTTTTCCCACAAACCTCTCCAAACATATAATTCTTAATACTGTAAAAACTTGTAGAGATAATTTTGACCATCATAAAATATTAGCATCGCATTAATTTAATAAATGACAGATATTCCCACTCCAAGGACAAATAACGCAGCTCTAGGCTAAAAAGTCCTAGATTCTATTTTATTTCTTTGCATTATTCATTTCTAACAGAAAGTTTGTACTCTTATCTTCTTCAGCGCGAACAACCTAGTGTCAAATCTTTTCTGTGCTGGTAAAAGTCCCGTGAAACCGATTTTAAACTGCTGATTAATGAAGTTTCTTAAAAAATGACGGAGCTATATGTGACAAGAGCGCAAATATGTGAGAGATGTGTGGCAAAAGGCGGTACTTAATTGGAAGTTACAAGTTTCAATATCGTAATTTGAAGACGTGGCCATTCATGTCGCACGGAAGTAACATAATACACAATGTCATTATCCTACACAAATGCAGGTTAATTGCTCATGAAAAATCCCTGAAATCGGAGACGAATAAAAAATTCAGCAAGTGTCTCAGCACGCATCACGGAATATGATTCAAATTTAAAGAATGTTAAGTTCTTTCTGTTTTTGGAAATTACCTACGAAATTTAAAAATATGACGGTGATGACTTGATTGAAAAGTATCAAAAATTACCAATATTCTTTGTCTCTTGACTTCTTCTGTCGATATTTCAAAAATCAATTTTCATTAGTCTTTACTGACTATTTATATACTGGATTATAGGAAAAATATTGAAAATCTCTTACGATTGACTCTGACATTTTTCCCGATAATAGTTTCCCTTATTTCTGATCCAGGTTTTTATATGCTCGTTTAAAACCATGAAAATATAATAATGAAGTATTCACGACTTAACACTAAAATAACCTTAACTTTTCAGCTATTTCTGCGGCTCCTACAGCCAGAAAATCTGCCGAAAGAGTACGTCAATTGCTGTTTTGTTTTGCATAAATTTCATCAACCCTTCATGGGTATATTTTCTAATTTTACTGATTTATTGTTAAAATTACGAACAGTTTAAATATTTGAATCTGGAACCATCTTTCCGTATCAAAAATCCGATTTTTGATAATTTAACTTGGGGCGTATATTGTTACGCTTAAAGGGATTTCAATCAGTTTTAAAAAATAAAACTTGCAATAAATTTAGAATACAACTGATTGACAACTTAATGAATGGACCCAAAATGAGTTTTATCAATAGATCCGACCCATCTACCTCAATATTTTGTATTATTGTATTCAGTGATAAAAATAAAGTGGCACATCTTGGGACGATTCGTCAAGTTGTACGATTTCAACAAACCAACCGGAATTGTTCCCTTAACAAAAAAAATTAGTTAATCAGTTTTTACCATCCAGGTCAGGTACCCACAATTTTGCCGATTTGTGACATTGGCGATATGACGTGTGTTACAAAATACTCTGATTGATGTAATACTCTTAGGCGGCATTTAATCGGAAAGATCCTACCTCTCGGGAAACACTAGATACAATGTATTCAGTAGATAGGTCAACTGAATTTTAGGTACATTTTTAGGACGATAATATCTGTAAACTGGGATATCCAGGAATAAAGACATTTTCTGACCTTCCTATCTAAAATAATTAATCGCAAAGATAATTTCTGAAAACCAGGATAGTCATAGAGAGGACTTTGTTTTCCGAAAACATTGTTTTGTTTTCGTGGTTGAACAGTTTTATCATATCTGAGGTTGGAGGTGATATTCGTGGTCGTCTGTCTAGGGGTGGCTCAATATAATTGTGTTTAAGGGCGGTTTAAGAAAGCCACAACATATCAGTATTATAGGGCAATTTGTTGAAGAACCTAGAAAATTAACTTTATAACTTTGGCAAAGAACTTTGCAAGGCATTGGAATGTTTTGATACTGCAACGAATACAAAATCCAAAGGAGAAAAATTATAATTTTCACACATTTTAAGGTAAGCCCGTGCTTACCTTAAGATTTGCAAAAGCCGTAATCCATTTGATTGTATTCGTTTCTTTTCCTGGGTGCAAAATATTGCATTATTGCCTTCCAAAAATCAATTTTCAAAGTTATACTGTTGAATTTTACATGAGGTTTTAGTGAAACAAAACGTCTATTTATTACGTTACAATAAAAAGCTTCTTGAATCTCCTTTAATAATAGTGTAAACTACTTAGGCCCAGCTGAAACAAGGAGGTGTTTTCAAACTGCCTATCATTACAATCCTACAGGATGTGTCAGGAAGACTGGAAATAACTTTGAGTCCATTTCTTAAGGTTTCCGTGCTTTGAACCTCGGTTGCGCTAATAGATATCAAACCTGACATGCATTTTAGAATGAATTTTCGACAATACCTCGATTAAGTGTTATCCAAAATCAACTTACGAGTAATTCGAACCGTAGGTAGAATGGATGGTCGACTCATGGTCACCACCCGAAGATTCCAAGTTAGTCTGTGATGACATCCTATCATAACTTTCCGAATCACACACGATTACTTCGGGCTAGCCCCTGAGCGCACAAAAACATTTCATTTGGGAAAACGGGCTCGATTTAAAAACACTGGAAGGCAAATTTTATAATAATAGTAAGGAAAATTAATTATATCACAGCCTGGGTGCCCTCGTAGGGCTTTGAAAAGTATATTTTTGCACTGTAGAGTCCATCATAAGCGTTACATCGTAGCAAAATTATCACAGAGAGGAAGCACTGAAATCGTTCGCAAGGCACTTTATTTCCGATTTCAAGGCAAGCTTTTAAGGCACCAAAAATTGACGTCAATCAGAGTGACGTTTCTGAGCTAAAACACGCCGAGGGCAAAAACTACAAAAATTCAGGCACCGAACAGTTAGTTTTTTAAGGAACTTATGAAAATTTCCGGAAGGCAGTCACAAAATTAATCCATCCTGGAGTTGATTGCTGCTGATCCCAAAGTCCAAGGCACAAAATTTCCGGCAAAGGGGGAGGAACTGATAAAACCGAGACGCGAGGGGTAGTTTTCACCAACACAGAGATCGATTTCCGAAACACGTGACTGTCGATGGTCTCAGGTCGAAAAGGGTTGAAATTTTGAGGTTATATCCATAGTCCTGGCATAATTTCCGTCATCAATTTCGAGCGGAGGGTGTGAACGACCGACAAGGGTGGTTGATCACGAGGGGTTGGGGTTATCACTGGTCGGGGGAGGATCGGGGGTGGGGGTAAACAACAGGTTGAACACGACGGCGATGCGCGCGCGAAGGGCACTAGTGGCGGCAGCTCACCTGTTGAGGGCGACACAGAGTACTGACTGCGGCCAGGTATCCCGTATTCGATAAAGGTAACAGCCAGCGCCGGTGACTCGATCACCGGTCGCTATGAGCTCTTCAATCGGCGGCGTGACCCCCCTCCTCCCCCCCAGGTCCCCCGCCGGCCCCCGCACAGTGGGACGGGCGATTGGGAACGGCCCGATTCGATAAGGATTGAAAGATTTTTTGAAACTACTGAAGTATTGCTCGCGGTCATTGGTTTTGTTTTTTCGGAATCGATCGAGAAGTTTAAAAAAATGTGGGTCTTCATATGTGGCGTTACAGGTATAAGAAATGGCTCGACTTGGTAAGAATTAGGTTTTTTAAAACGTTTGAAGTATTGATTACCGTCGTTGGTAATGCTTCTTCAGAATCGATGTTTGAAGTTTAAAAAAAAAATGTATTTGTAGTTTCATTTGCGGCGTTCCACATACAGGGTACGGTCCGACTCGATAAGAGTTGAAATTTTTTTTAAAAGTTCTAAATTATTACAGGCGGTCATTGGTTTGGTTTTTTCGGAATCGATTATTAAAGTTTAAAAAAATATATGTCTTCATTTACGGCGTTGCAGGTACATGGAAGGGCCTGACTCAATAAGAATTAAGATATTTTTGAAACTTTCAAAGTATATATCGCTCACAGTCATTGGTATTGTTTGTTGTCGGAATCGATGGTTGAAGGTAAAAGAAAATGTATGTCTTCATTTGTGACGTTACAAGTATCCGCTCGAATTTGATCTTTTTCGACGAAAAGGAGCCGATAATTTTTCTTGCAATTTCTGCGAATATTCTTCGTTCATTCATAATTTCCGTTGGGAATCAAGCTCAGCTTTACGACTATGTTGGTTAAGAAACATGTATCAGAATGCTTAAATTCATCCCCTGTCTACTTGTCCAGTGAGGTTCTGTCAATAATAGCCCGTATTCCGACCAATTCGCCTTCAAAACTCGGGTAGGGAATTTGAGCGGCTTCGGAGCAGTAATAGTTGCTTGCAGCAGTTTGGCCAAGTTCTAAACGTTCATACAGTGTCCGCTACTTTCGTGCATCAATTAGAGTTCTGGCTGTCAGTAGTAGCCTGTAGTCCTACCAGTTTGCCTTCAAAACTCGAACAGGCAATTTGAGCGGCTTACGAGCAGTAATAGTTGCTCGAAATAGTTGAGCAGTTTTACGTGAAAAATGGATGTGGAGATATATATGTCAGAATGCTCAAATTAGTACCATGTAAATTGAGGAGTTAGGTGCAAAAGGGGCGTCATTGACAAAATCGCGTTTTGAGTTATTCGTGTTCAAAGTTTGTTGTTGTACAAATGAAATATATGTTTAAAGATATGGAAATAATGTGGTTTGGCTTTTGAAAGTTGAACTTGAAACCTCTGAAAACGATTCGACAACGCGCGCTGTCAACAAAGACTGTTATCAGTGTTGTTTGAGGTTAGGTACGTTCATTTTTAGCCAACCGAACAATAATAAAATTACTGTATCTCAGTGAATGTTTGACATAATAACATGAAAATTGGTACACCTACATTTTAGGATATGAGGATTCAGAAAAACCGGTCTCTGCAAAAGGGGCGTCATGGACCTAACGCCCCTTTTGCACCTAACTCCTCAATTTTGGTATTTGCATTCACCCCTCATATTTTCTTTAAAGACATTCATAGACTGAGAATGCTGAATGTCTCTGATAAAATTAACTAACAGCATTGTCTAGTGATCAGTCCAGGGATTTATGAGAGATTCAGGGTTTCTACTTTTTTCCAACTTTCAAATTTCCTGTATTTTCCTTGATTGATTGTTTAAATAACTCTTCACGACTCATTTGTCACAGAGGTGTAACATTGGTAGTACATACATTAAGCAGCTATTATAGCGCAGCCTTGCGCTCTGCGACGCCCAATCGCCATTGCCTCCTATCCTCCCAGAAACCATCAGGCAATTGGCAACTTCTGATCTTCTCCTCCACCCCTTGTCACCAACCTTTCACAGGACGTCCACACCGTCGCCTTTCAGGAGGAACCCAACCGAAAACTTGCTTGGGCAACCGATCGTCTGCCATCCTCCGCACATGTCCATATCAGACCAACTGCTTGGGCCTGATATCGTGCACAATTTCATTCTTCACACCCATTATCACACGCATTTTTACATTGCGGATACGCTCTCTTCTTGAGATGCCAGCAGACTTCCGCCAAAAGTCCATCTCAGTCGCCCTAAGCATGTCTTCAGTCCTTTTCTTGAGTTGCCAGACCTCACTCCCGTAAGTTAAGATACTCTTCACGATGACGTTGTAACTTTTTCTTTTATTCTTTCTACAGATACTCTGATCAGAGAACCCTATTTAGCATAGCTTGGTAATCACTCTCAATATTCTGATACCTATCGACTTGAAAGGCTACCTCTGCCTTTTCAATTTCTCCTCTAACTTCACAATCACACAATCATACTCTTACAAAATTATTTCGCTTATTAATGTATTTGAACAAATTTTCCGATTGGAAAAGCGAAATTCCAGAGTTAAAGTCAAATCCCCTGAGTGTTCCCTCTTTTCCCTCTGGGTTTTCCTATTTCTTTTCTTGTGGTAGGAACTTTGGATTTTAAGGATTCATGAGGGAATTCTGGGATTTGTAAGGGATTTGAGGAATTCATAAAGGACACACTGGAAACAAAACACATTAGATCGATGTGTTTTCAAGAGTCCAGACTCTTGAAAACATTGACAAGAAAAAATACTCTTGAATCAATCGGATTTTTGCTTGAATCAAAACGAAATCCGCTTAAATGAAGAGGCTTGGTTCTTGATTTAAGCTAGATTCTGATTGAATCAAGAGTACTTTTTCTTGTCGATGTTTTTAAGAGTCTGGACTCTAGATCCAATGTGTTTTTTTTTCCAGTACATATGACGGACGAAAGTAACCAAACTTCAGTTGGATCTTTCAACGGTGATAACGACCGCCCCTCAGCTCGCGGCCGGAGCACGGACCACTGTGCGACGCGGCGTCGCGGCGTCCGCCCCCGAGTGACCACTCACGGCTCGCGGGCGCGGGCGCGGCGGACGCGGAGCGGTGCGGCTCCGGCCGGCGCCTGGCGGATCGCGTCGCCGGTCGCGGATATCATCACGATATCCTCCCCAAAACGATCTGCATGTGTAAATTCGCCCGGACCCCGAACACCCGACGCCAATTAATATCTTTCACTCCGCCTCGCGCCGCCGCCTCGGCCAGCATTAAATTAGAGATAGCTTCACGACCTCCAGCTACCGTTCCCCGTTTAACGCCCCCTCCCTCCCCCTCCTCCGCGGCAACAGCTTCGTCGTTCGCCGAGTGACACCGGGATAGAGCACCGATTTAGGGACTGCGTCGACCAAAGGACTGATTATTGAAATTCATCTAGCGATGGAAGATGGAAGGACGTAGGGGACGCCCAGTGAGAAGTTGGCGACAGGGGATGTTTAATGAGATAAGGGAGTGTCAACTCCCTGATGACCTGTGGAAAGACCGAGCTTTGTAGCGATTAGGCGTCGTAAATCGCCAAAGAGCGCTATAAAAGCTACTCATATATATATCTAGCGATGGACAAAGGGAAAATGACGTATAGGAGGATCTAAGGGGGCGTAAAGGGCGTGCAACCCCCTCCTTCCCGTTCGCCCATAAAGATGGAAGATAAAAAAGGGAAGAGAGAAAGGAGGATGGCACGGAGGGAAGAGGGCGGTATTTTTGGGTTGAAATTTGGTAATCATTCATGACGAAATTAACTTAAACTGCATATTATATGCTTTAAAATTTCGAAAATTTTCTGGGGTTGCTCTCTGGGCCCCGATCCTCCCTCCCACCCCTCATCTGAAGCGTCCAGATCCGCCTAGGAAATTCGATCCTAAGCGACCTATTCGCATAGGCCTATTTGCCTAGGCGATCCTATTGGTGGAAATAGGATCCTGAAAGTGAAACATAATAACAACGTTTGAGTTATAACGGCATCACTATGCTTTATGAAACACCACACTCGCTTTAAAAGTTTTTAGCGAAGGTGTCCGTCCAAGGAAAATGAGACTTCAGTCATCGCAAAAACTAAATTTTATTGATTACTGAACCAGATACACAAGTCGATGGACACAGAAGACGCATGGGAATGAAGCGGTTCGATTAATGGAAGCAAGTGGTTGCAATGAACAGAGGAGGTAAGTATCAATTAGAGATCATATTGTTAGTCCATCATCATCTCTGTTAGTTCATAACAACCACCCACTTCAACCAGTAGAATCGTTCCATTTTCCCCTCGTTTTCTTTGTCTGTAAATTGAAATAATCAGCCGGTCGAAACCAACCCTGTATTGTCTAAATGAGTATTTTATGCCTTGACTTAGTGCATTATGGATTTGATCGACAGATCTCAAATTAAAATAACCGGTATTTTAGAAAACTCAAAATGTCAGTCTCGAGAGTAATCGTTCAAAGTTCGACGAGAGGAGCATGCATTCCAGAGATTGTCTTTCAAAACCTTTAAAAATTGTCAAAAGCCGTGTTCAATAGCGCATAACATAATGGTTGGAAATCGGTAAGCATTCTTCTGAACTATTTTAAGGTTTAAAGTTTTTGAAAGTTCACAAAGTTCGAAATCAACTAACTAGTGAAAACAGAGGGTTCATAGTTTTTATTAAAATCAGTTAGTTCAAGATGTTCGGTAACTTTTCCTAAAGTTACTACAAGAAGAGGTAAACTTCAACTTCAATTCTAAATATCCACGAAACATTAATAGTTTATACTTAAACTTTTGCCCTGCCCTGCCCTATCCAGCGAACAAAATTCGGGGCTTTGATCAACACCTGTGACTCACAATCAGTCGATTTTTCAAGGAGGGGAACTATGTTTGATCAAATTATATCTCCATCATTCCGGGTCTTGAAGACGCCAGTGGTGGCGACTGGCGAGCAGCGGTCATTCCACCGAGGGGAGATGATCAAAGATGTCGAAACTACTTCCGGTTCATGC